AGAAGTTTATGGAATGTTTTGAATGTTCGTAAGTGTCAACAATGGTTCAGCAAATTTCTTTCAGGTGACTTTAGCCTTAAAAACTGTGATGGCAGAGCCTGACATGTTGGAATTGATATTGATGATCTGAAGACATTTGTTGATGCAACACACTCATAAAATAGCCCTGTAATTGCATATCTCTCATAAAACAATATGTAAACATCTAAGGAATATGGGAAAACTCCATAAAGAAAGTGTTTGGGTGCCTCACAAATTCTTCGATGATCATTGTTTCCAACTTTGCTTTGTCTCTTCTGGCTTGTAATGCACGTGAACCATTTTTGGACAGAATTGTCAGCTGTGATGAAAAATGGATTCTCTATGTGAATATTAAATGCCATAAACAATGGCTCAGTCCTTGACAATAACCACTTCCGACTCCAAAACCTGTACTCTATCCGCAGAAAGTGATGCTTTGCATTGCATTTGGTAGGACATCAAAGGAGAAATTCATTTCCAACTCCTCAATCCACAGCAAACTGTCAATGCAGAAATCTAGAGTCCACAACTGGAATGTTTAAATCAAGCCCTTCATCACAAATGCCCTTCTTTTGTCAATCGGAAAGGTGTTTTTTTTCTCTACAACAATGCACATCCACATGTGGCACCTTTGATGCAGCACAAGATTATGGAGTTGGGTTGGGAAGTTCTCCCCCACCCACCATATTCTCGAGATATGGCACCATCAGATTACCATCTTTTTGTTTTGCTGCAACACTATCTTAATGGGAAAACGTATGCAAATTTGGAAGGTGTTAATTAGGACATTGACTCTTTTTGCTTCAAAGCCAATATTAATTATTTGGGTTTTTCATATAAAAAAAGCGACATTAAGTTCTTGACCTAATATTTATAAATGACATTCAAGTGTCACTAAAGTTGTTTTCTTTACAGTTGTACTTAAAGCATAACAAACTCTTCTAGAAGCTAAGACTACATTATATTTTTAATTTTAGATTGTTGCATCTAATGAAAGAGCAAAATATATTTAAAAGCTAATGACAACTTAGTTAATAAAATATTCAGCTAATATTATTGCCGATTTAGCAAGTATGGTTATCAGTGGTTGTAACTCTAAGCTAATTATATCATTGTATTGTTTTTAGATCCAGAGGATGGTTATCAGTGGTGGTAACTTTAAACTAATTATATCATTGTATTGTTTTTAGATTCAGAGGATGGTTATCAGTGGTGGTAACTTTAAACTAATTATATCATTGTATTGTTTTTAGATCCAGAGGATGGTTATCAGTGGTGGTAACTTTAAACCTGATACTCTGAAACCCAAAGAAGTGGTGTCACTCTTGTTGGATGATGAAGAGCTAGAAAAAAAGTGTTAGTATTTTTGTCTTTTAGCATATAGATAGAATGTTAGTACTGGTGTTTTGTAACAGTCACAGAAAGGGACAGTACTTGTGTTTTGTAACAGTCACAAGAAAGGGACTGTACTTGTGTTTTGTAACAGTCACAGAAAGGGACTGTACTTGTGTTTTGTAACAGTCACAGAAAGGGACTGTACTTGTGTTTTGTAACAGTCGGAGAAAGGGACTGTACTTGTGTTTTGTAACAGTCGGAGAAAGGGACAGTACTTGTGCATTTTATAAACTGGGCAGTATGTTGTTATGTGACTGTTATTTGAAAATCATAACATGTATGAAATTACTGCATCTCCAGGAGTTGTAGAAATGGTTTGAATGTTTATTTAGTATAAAAAAATAGTATTTCTACTTCTTAAAAATGACATGTTATATGCTTGCAGATGTAGTTTTTGATATTTTGTCTTGAAGCTACCCCAAGAGAAGTTTTAAACCTTAAGTTTGGGAAGAAAGATGGTACTTGGTAAATTCTTCAGGTTTTTGTAGCTTCCTGATGTGCAGAAGAATCTTTCAATTATGGATCTTACTGTTTCTTAACTACATTCGATTTTTAGCATAAACAGTTAAAATGACAAAGTTATTTAGCTATATAATTTAATAAGAAATAATTTTAAATATCATTTAGTATACATGGTGTGTTTTTTCTTTTTACAAAGTTTTAGAACTGTTATGCTTACTAATTATAATTAAAATAAGTATATTTGGCACCTTACTTTTAAATACAAAATAGTGTAGATACAAGCAGCAGTTGACTGCCCTATTACAAGTTTTAAGTTGTACAGAAGACTAAAATTCAGAAGAAAGTTGAATTTATTTTACATGAAACATTGACTAACCCCAGATGTACATCATTCTCAGTTTAGATCAGCCAATTTATGTGCTAAGTTTTGCTTCATTGTTCATTTGGCAGTTTGGGTAACACTTTGATAAACTAGAAGTAGCTGAAAACCTGGTGAGAATGCAAAAGGAGATGTGCAGTATTTAGCAGTGTGATAATTGACAAAATATCTAAATCAGATTGGTGATAGTGTATAACATTTCAAAAGATTAAACATGAACTGTAGTAACTTACTTTCGTGTCTCACAGTCCGACAACGACAAGAGGAGAGGAGAAAAGAACAAGAAGAAGCTAACGTGGACAGTGGTCAGAGGAGAAAATACAAAGGTGCTAAAGTGAGTACACTAACTATTTCCATTCATCTGATGCTGAGATATTAATTCTTCTATTCCACAAAATAAAACTTCAGCCATGAGAAAGCTATTGGGGTAAAAGAAAGTTACGGGAAGTGTTTAATGATGACATCTCTTCTACTCACAATCTTCCTGTTAGTTTTGTGTTTATGATACTAAGCAGGTGGGAATCCCCAATTTAATGGATAGAAATTACCTGTTCACTACATACACGAATAGGACTGCCTAACGTTCTATAATATGTTATGTTTTCTTAGAGAGGTCCAAAGCCTAAAAGAAAAAAACTGGAAGAAAATATTACAACCCCTGCACCCTCTGACCCTGCCACACCCACCCATCAAGATGGAGACTCTGTTCTAAGTGTGGATTCAGTTCCTCCAAGTCCATATAGTGAGGTAAGTTATGTTCACTGTACTGTTGGAAGCAGTCATAGGTTATATTCACAGATAGTTTTAATTGCTACTGTGTCTAATGTTGTGTAGTAATATATGAATTGTAACATTAAAAGTATTTGGTACAAACAAACAAAGATTCCTAGTTCAGAATCTTGAAGTGAATGTTTTGGAGAACTAATCTACAAAAGTAGCTCATATGGAAAGGACAAAGCTTCAAAAGACTTTTGACTTCAGGTCAGCTTGCACCAATTTTTGCATGGGTTGTATGGTATTTGGGAGGTTTGAAGTGGATGTAATTTAAGTGGCTGCTGGTTCTTATAACGTGGTTGGTGGAATAAGTGATGATTTGACCAGTAGTAGCCACACAATGTTGGTTTTCAAGTTCGAGTGATGGTTTCATCGTGTTCATGTAGAAAGATTCCTAGATATTGCATGTTTTCCAAAATTTATCTGAGGCAGTGTATCTGTCATTGTACCAGTCTGTTTTGTGTCCTGTCAGTATGGCCAGAACACAATTCTGTGTTTTCATCAGTTTTGGGCAGTCTTTATATTTTCTTATTCTTGCACCAAAATGTCTTCCAGTTTCTCTGATGTACAGTAACAAGGTATTTCATAAATGGAACTCTTCTGTTTGTTGTTTCTGACAAAAACAAATGTGTGTGTTCTGCAAGTTTCCAATGGACATCAATGTTTAACTTTTGGTTACATGTTTGATCTTCTCACTGAGATTTTTATGTGTATGGGAGGTCTTGTTTTTCTTGTCTGTTGTATCAGTTTGTATGTTTATATTCTCAGAGCTATTGGGGATTAGGCTAGATGGGTGTCTGTACTGTTTAAAGCACTGCATGATGTGTCAGATTGATTTTGATTGGGGTTTTCAGCTCTGTTGTTCAAATACTTAATAATAATGCATTTAAATGGTTAGATTGAAAATGTAAGTATCTATTATTACTGTTAGTGTCCTGTATGTGGTTAGTGAGCTCGTCATTCAGTGTGCTGATGAAAATGCCACGGAACAGCAGGCTGTTGCTCTTTATTTTCATGGTAAAGTGGATTCTGTTGTCTATGGAGTTAAGGGGCTGTAAGAAGGCTAGTAAGTTTTCATGACTATGAGACCAGAGAGGAAATGTGTCGTCAACGTAGTGTCTGTAAAAGCTGGGTTTCATGTCTGTTCTGCCAGAACTGGAGAGAGTGGGGATCCCACGGCAAGGCTGCTTGTTTGTTCAAAGAAATCATTGCTCTACTGAAAGTATGTGGATTTTATCCAAGATAGTTTCTATCTTCATGTCTGTTTTTTATGTAAGAGAATTATTATTCAACAGCCGTTGTTTGATAATATGGAGGTATGTTAGTAAACAAAACTGATGAGGACATTGTGGGATGTAGGCCACATGATGTTTTATATTACCCAACGGTGGTGATAGGATATGTACACCAATAAAAGCAGTTAAGTGATAGCAAGATGAGTTTATGCCACTGACTGTGGGTCTGAAAGATATGTGGCTCTTAAGTAGTCTCTAAAAGTGTAGAGAACAGTTGCTGGTAATTCTTATGTTCTTGGTAGTATTTTCACTGATAAAGAGTTTGTTTAAACCTGGTCATGAGTCTGTCTGTCTTATATTTAGGGTTATTGTTGACTGGTGGCTTCTAGTAAATGATATTGGTGTCATAATCATCCACCTCTAAGATTGTTGTGGTGTTTCCTTTATCTGTAAGTAGAATTGTTGTGTTTTACACAATTGTAATGTTGGATTTTGATTTATTGGAAATTATGAGGGTAGTACAAGTTTGATGTTTAAATCGTACTGACAGGTTTTGGGAGGCTTTAAGCCATAGATTCTAGGTTGACTGTTCTTGACTTTATTACAAGTAGTTTTGAATGTTAAGACTTGATTTTCATGAGTGATAAGTAGGTCTTCCATCTGTTTTTGGTATATTTACTAATAGCAGCTTTTGTTCTGCTGTTTTATAATCCTTGTTATCTTAGAGAAGGAGGTTTCTTTAAGTTTCACAAACTATCAAATCCCTGTGGCTTAGTAAAATTGTTAAGTGGGTTGAACAGCATTCAAGCTTGGTTAAATTCTTGTTGATGGAAGCTGCCCCTTAACAGATAGATGATTTAGGTAGAGTCTTCATGATCAATGAAGTTGAAATGGGCAGCAGAAGTACGATTGAGGAGAAAGTTTGGAGGACTAATGTATAAAAGCTATCCAGATGGAAAGAATGACGTTTTAAAAGACTTTCCTCCTGTACTTTCTCATCAAGTGTCATAGCTTTGTGTTCAGTAACAAAGAAAACTTGTGTAATATATGTTTTAAATGTCACTTCTAAAAACTTTAGTTATTACTTTATATAACAACAAAAAATGCAAGTAACTTGTTTTCTGCTATGGTTTTATATTTAAAACATTATTTTACCTGTATTTTCAGTTATCGGTGAATAGTTTGGCAATGGCTCATGATGACACCAGTAGTGAGGGTCCTCTAGTGGTGGATGATGGAAGCCCATCTGTACCACCACCAACAAAAGTTACTTCAATTTCAGGTAATTATTTTTCTACTTTTTATGATGTTTTTATAAACATAAATTAAACAAAATATTCTTTTTCCATTTCGTGTTTCCAAGTTACTTTTTTCTTGTTAATTAATTCTTCAGCGTGAGTTTCTTTGTATGCTTTCACATCCCAATTTCTTTACTGCGGAGTGTTTGTAAAGCTTCTTCACATTGCTAATTTAACAACCACACATTCTGCATGTTAGAATGTAGTGTATTGGTGACTGAATTCAAACGGACTAAGATACTTGTAGTGTATTGGTGACTGGATTCAAATGGACTAAGGTACTTGTAGTGTATTGGTGACTGGATTCAAACGGA